CACTAAGGTTCTACCTCCTTCACTCCTCCACTCATCAGTCACCCATTTATTTCTCTTAGCATATCTCCCTTCTGATTGGCTTATGACTAGCCTCCCTTTCTAGAATGTAAGCTCCCCAAGGGCTGACATTCTGTCTGTCTTATCTCTGCTTCCACACCTTCTAGCCCATTCCTCATATAGTGGGTGCTCAGTAAGTATTGAGTGATATGAATGAACAGATAAATCACTAGACTGCTCCCACTGATACGGGCTAGGCAGGGAGCTGTTGAGCACAGGAGCTGAGAGACTGCTAGAAGCCTTTGTGCTGGAGCCTCATACTGCCTAAAACCCCACTTGCTTCTGCACTGACCCAACATGGTTGTAGCCTTCACACACACCCACTTTCCCATCATGCGCCTTAGCCTCACTTCTCATGCACAGAATGCCATAATGACCACGTGGAGATCACCACAGGCACTGCAGCCCTGCCCAAAGCCCATCCTACTTGAATATTCAATTAGGGCGTCACCTTCTCTTCTGTACACAGATGACCCTAACTTTGGTGGGGGTAGTTGCCTTTCCTTCCTCATGGAGAAGGGTTGCCACACTCATATCTTTCCTGCACCTCTGTGTCTCTGAATTCTCTCACACCAAGAACTTGGAATAAACCCAGCTGGGGACTCTATTCCCCATAATACTACTAAAATAGACTACAGGGGCTGACGTTGTGGCACAGTGAGTTAAGTCCCAACCTGCAGCACTGGCATCCCATATGGGTGCCAGTTTGAGTTCCAGCTGCTCCACTTCCAATCCAGCTCCCTGCTAATACACCTGGGGAAGCAGCTGAAGATGGCCCAAGTCCTTGGGCCCCTGCATCAGTGGGGGAGATGCAGAGGAAGCTCCTGGCTCCTGGCTTTGGCTTGGCCCAGCCCTGGCTATTTTGTCCATTTGGAGAGTGAATAAGCAGATGGAAGATCTCTCTCTCCATCTCTCCTCCTCTCTGTAACTCTGCCTTTCAAATAAATAAATAAAAATAAAATAAAATAGACTATGGTGTATGATTTAGGAACCCACTTTTCCACTAGGCTCAGGTTGTTCTCATCTCATTTGCAGTACATTTTAAGTCCATGAAGCAGAATGAGGGATTCTATTGCCTTTTCAGAGAATAGAAATATCTCTCAACTTACCCCTATGTTAAGCATTTGAATGATCAGATTGAAAATGGCTTTTAAACAAAGGAACGCTTTCTCAAGAGGCTGTAGAATGTCAATATATTTGCCAGAAGCAAGTTTAGAAGGCAATTAAAATTTTAATACTCAAGTGGACAGTGAGAGAGAGACAGAGAGAAAGGTCTTCCTTTTTCCGTTGGTTCACCCCTCAATGGCCGCTCTGGCGGCACGCTGTGGCCGGTGCATCGCGCTGATCCCAAGCCAGGAGCCAGGTGCTTCCTCCTGGTCTCCCATGTGGGTGCAGGGCCCAAGAACCTGGGCCATCCTCCACTGCCCTCCCGGGCCACAGCAGAGAGCTGGACTGAAAGAGGGGCAACTGGGACAGAATCCGGCGCCCCAACCGGGACTAGAACCTGGTGTGCCGGTGCTGCAGGCGGAGGACTGGCCTAGTGAGTCACGGTGCCGACCTGAAAGGCAGATTTTACAGAGGCAGAGAGAGAGAGAGGTTTTCCATCAGCTGGTTCACTCCCCAAATGACTTCAATACCTGGAGCTGTGCCAATCCAAAACCAGAACCCGGGAGCTTCTTCTGGGTCTCCCACGCAGGCACAGGGGCCCAAGGACTTGGGCCATCCTCTACTGCTTTCCCAGGCCATAGCAGAGAGCTGGTTCAGAAGTGGAGCAGCTGGGACTTGAACCAGCGTCCAAATGGGATGCTGGCACTGCAGGCGGTGGCTTTACCCCTTACGCCATAGCGCTGGCCCCAACATCTTAGACTTTAAAGTCAGAAGGATCTTAAATTTAAATTTCACCACAGGCATGTGTTAACTGGTTAATCTGAAGTCCCTTAATTGCTCTGAATTGATAAATAAGTTAGGAACAATTAAATATCAAATAGTCTGTTACGAAGAATAAGTACATCTGAAGTAATTGGTACAGTTTTGCTATGCACTTAGCACTCAACAAAAGTGAGCATTATAATCATTACTGTCACTATCATTATCATGTAGATTTTATGTTTTAAAATGAGGCAAGAGGATCAAATTAATATGCTAATTCCCTGTAATGACCAAGGATGGCTGATTCTGTGAAATCTTTATAAATAGAATAGCATTGCTGTCATAATTACTTAATTATAAACTTTTGCCAATTCATTATGCACATTCAAATATCTAATTGTCAATCATTGCAAAATATTGGGAACATGTTTATTCAATTGGGAAAAAAAAGCAGCCATAGAAATTGTTTGGTTTAGGCCTTTAATCATTAAGTCTGTAAGGAGTGTTTTTGGGAAAAACTGGGGTGGCTCTTCTGGCCCTGATTCCAAGATTGCACATAAAGAAAAGCTTCCAGGCCAGCGCCGCAGCTCACTAGGCTAATCCTCCGCCTTGCGGCGCCGGCACACCGGGTTCTAGTCCTGGTCGGGGCACCGGATTCTGTCCCGGTTGCCCCTCTTCCAGGCCAGCTCTCTGCTGTGTCCAGGGAATGCAGTGGAGGATGGCCCAAGTGCTTGGGCCCTGCACCCCATGGGAGACCAGGAGAAGCACCTGGCTCCTGGCTCCTGCCATCAGATCAGCGCGGTGCACCGGCCGCAGCGCGCCAGCCGGGGCGGCCATTGGAGAGTGAACCAACGGCAAAAAGGAAGACCTTTCTCTCTGTCTGTCTCTCTCTCACTGTCCACTCTGCCTGTCAAAAAAAAAAAAAAAAAAAAAAAAAACTTCCAACTTCCAATACTGTAAGTAATATTTTTGGGATTAGGAAATATTTGTGACTGAATGTGATATTGATATCCACCGTGACATGAATAAAATTTAAGTCTGCCTTCAGAGTACTTCAGAAAGTTCATGAAAAAATGGAATTGAAAATGTTTATTTTGGTACAAAAAATTTTAAAGTCCATGCATAGATATTTTTCATCATACACATTTTTCATGAACTTCTTGAAGACCCCTCATATATATGGATTTCAAAAAATGCAGCAAAACCAACTTATCTTTTAATTTCATTTTCCACAAACACTTCGAAGTACTTTCATTTACCTAAATAAAATATATACTTGCCATCGGTGCTGTGGCATAGCTGGTAAAGCCGCCGCCTGCAGTGTCAGCATCCCATTTGGGCACTGGTTCGGGTCCCGGCTGCTCCTTTTCCAATCCTGCTCTCTGCAATGGCCTGGGAAAGCAGTGGAAGGGCCCGGGTCCTTGGGCCCCTTCATCCGCGTGGGATGCCTGGAGGAGGCTCCTGGCTCCTGGCTTTGGATTGGTGTGGCTGTGGCGGCCATTTGGGGAGTGGGCCAGAGGATGGAAGACCTCTTTCTCTGCCTCTGCCTCTCTGTAACTCTGCCTTTCAAATAAATGGGTAAATCTTTTTTTTTTTTTTTTTTTTTTGACAGGCAGAGTGGACAGTGAGAGAGAGACAGAGACAGAGAGAAAGGTCTTCCTTTTCCATTGGTTCACCCTCCAATGGCCACTGCAACCAGCGCACTGCGCTGATCTGAAGGCAGGAGCCAGGTGCTTCTCCTGGTCTCCCATGCGGGTGTAGGGCCCAAGCACTTGGGCCATCCTCCACTGCACTCCCGGGCCACAGGAGAGAGCTGGACTGGAAGAGGAGCAACCGGGACAGAATCCAGTGCCCCGACCGGGACTAGAACCCGGTGTGCCAGCACCACAGGTGGAGAATTAGCCTATTGAGCTGTGGCGCAGGCCAAATAGGTAAATCTTTTTTTTAAAAAAAAAAAGTGCTTAGCACTATAATATATGTTAAATAATTAAAGATTTTCTGTATGCTTAAGTAATAATTGCAGTATCACATTCTCCCCTTTTAGATTTATATGGTAATAGCAATAGTTAATATTTATTGATCACTGTGTATTAGCTCTTCATCACTGTGGTGAAGAACCTGAGAGAAGTTAATTTTGTAAAGAGATACAGTTTATTTTTGGCTCATGGTTCTGAAGTTTCAAGTCCAAGATAGGGGATGTAGGTTAGGGAGGGACCCATTAGTTGGGATACCATGAAGATGGAGCATGGCAGTGGTGGAACATATGTGGAGGAAGAATCGCATGGCGAGCCAAGAAGTACAAACCTTCTAAGACTGACTCAGACTACCAAAACCAGTCCTCTGTGAGAACTGTCCTCCAAGGGCATGCCCCCAGTGACCTAAGAATCTCCCACTAGGCCCACTTACTAGGCACCACAATTGTAATGAACTTCACTCTCAGTACCATCAACTTAGGACTTTGTGATTTAACCATGTGCATGAGTTCAAGAGCTGTATCTTGTTCAAGCCATAGCACACACACCACATCAGGTGTCTTTTTATTGCTGTGCAACAAATCACCCAAAAACACAGGAGCTTAAGACAATAATCATTTTATTTTTTAATCTTTTTAAAGATTTATTTATTTATTTGAAAGGCAGAGTTACAGAGAGGCAGAGGCAGAGAGGAGAGAGAGAGACTCTTCCATCTGCTGGTTCACTCCCCAAATGGAGGCAACGGCTGGAGCTGGGGCAATCTGAAGCCAGGAGCCAGGAGCTTCTTCCAAGTGTCCCACACCTTTGTAGGGACCCAAGGACTTGGGCCATCCTCTACTGCTTTCCCAGGCCATAGTAGAGAGCTGGATCGGAAGTGCAGCAGCTGGGTCTCAAACCGACGCCCATATGGGATGCCGGCACTGCAGGCAGCAGCTTTACTGCCTTCACCACAGTGCCGGCCCCAATAATCATTTTATTTGGACTGGGTTCATATAAAAGTTCTCTGTGTCTTACCCAAGTAGGCAAATGTTGTTACCTAATAGCTCAACTTTGTGGAAAGGAGGGAGAAGAAACTAAATGCCTCTCACATCATGTTCTCAGGGTTCCAATAACAAACAGAAGCTGCAAGACATCCTGAGGACTGGGCTCACTGCCTACACATTCATTTTGGCAAAATTCTATTGGTCAAGCAAATAACAAAGCCATGCCAAGAATCCAGGAAGAGGAGATCACTTCTTGGTAAGAGTTGCAGCAAAGACATGTTGCAAAAGCACACAGAGTAGGGGAAAGGTGCTTGCTTTTGTTTTTTGCAATTTACAAGCTAAGCAGTTTGTTGCAACTGCAAGCATTGTTTCATTTAATTTTCCCAACAGCCCTATGAGACGGGTATATTATTAAAAGAGAAAACTAAAATATAGGGATATGATTGAAACAACTTTCTAGTAAGGAAAATGTTTTTGTTTTTAATGAATAAAACTAAAAAATAATAGAATGTTAAATGAAAAAGCAGGATGCAATGTTATAAAATAATTCAATTTTTAAGATTTATTTATTTGAAAGGCAGAGTTACAGAGAGGCAGAGAGAGAGAGAGATCTTCCATCTGATGGTTCACAGCTCAAATGGCTGCAATGGTCAGTGCTGGGCCAGGCTGAAGCCAGGAGCCAGGAGCGCCATCCAGGACTCTTATGTGGGTGGGCCATTTTCTGCTATTTTCCTAGGAGTGCTAGCAGGAATTTTTTTTTTAGAGATTTATTTATTTACTTGAAAGTCAGAGTTACAGAGAGAGGAGAGGCAGAGAAAGAGAGAGGGATCTTATATCTGCTAGGCCACTCCCAAATTGGCTGCAATGGCCAGAGTTGAGCTGATCCAAAGCCTGGAGCCAGGAGCTTCTTCCGGGTCTCCCACATGGGTGCAGGGGCCCAAGAACTTGGGCCATCTTCTACTGCTTTCCCATGCCATAGCAGAGAGCTGGATCAGAAGTGGAGCAGCCGAGACTCGAACCGGTGCCCATATAGGATGCTGGCACTGCAGGCAGTGGCTTTACCCGCTACACCACAGCATCGGGCCCCCATTAGGGTTTTTTTTAAAGATTTATTTATTTGAAAGTCAGAGTTACACAAAGAGAGGAGAGGCAGAGACAGGGGGTGAGAGAGAGAGAAAAAGAGAGAGAGAGGGAGAAAGGTCTTCCATCCACTGGTTCACTCCCCAATTGCTACAATGGCCAGAGCTGCACTGATCCAAAGCCAGGAGCCAGGGGCCCAAAAACATCTTCTAGTGCTTTCCCAGGCCACAGCAGAGAGCTGGATGGGAAGTAGTGTAGCTGGGACTCCAACCGGTACCCATAATGGATGCCGGCACTGAAGGCAGCAGCTTTACCCGCTACACCACACACCGGCCCCTTCCTATTATGTTTTGTTTGTTTGTTTGTTTGTTTGTTTGTTTTGACAGGCAGAGTGGACAGTGAGAGAGAGACAGAGAGAAAGGTCTTCCTTTGCCGTTGGTTCACCCTCCAATGGCCGCCGCGGCCGGCGCGCTGCGGCCGGCGCACCGCGCTGATCCGATGGCAGAAGCCAGGAGCCAGGTGCTTTTCCTGGTCTCCCATGGGGTGCAGGGCCCAAGCTATGTTTTTAAGATACATGCACGCACATATACAAACACTCTATAGGGAAATATTTTTAAATATTAAGAAATTTCTCTTAATTAGAGAATAATCTAAGCCAAATTTTTGTGTTTTCCAAGTTTTCATGATAAGAATATATTTCCTTTTAGAAATTAAAAAAAAAAAAAAAAACAATGTTTTAAAAAGCTACCAAAATTCAGGCCAGCGCCGCGGCTCACTAGGCTAATCCTCCTCCTTGCGGCGCCGGCACACCGGGTTCTAGTCCCGGTCGGGGCGCCAGATTCTGTCCTGGTTGCCCCTCTTCCAGGCCAGCTCTCTGCTGTGTCCAGGGAGTGCAGTGGAGGATGGCCCAAGTGCTTGGGCCCTGCACCCCATGGGAGACCAGGAGAAGCACCTGGCTCCTGCCATCGGATCAGCATGGTGCACCGGCTGCAGCGCGCTGGTCACGGCAGCCATTGGAGGGTGAACCAACAGCAAAGGAAGACCTTTCTCTCTGTCTCTCTCTCACTGTCCACTCTGCCTGTAAAAAAAAGAATAAAAGAAGAAAAGAGAGCTACCGAAATCCAATAAGAAAAGGTGATCTGAAAGGCTATGTTGAATCAGTAGCTAATAGTCTTCTAAAGTAGATAGCCCCAGGCCCAAATAGGTTCATTGATGAATTATACAAAACATTTAAGGAAGAAATAACACTAATTCTTTACCATATCTTGTATAATATAAAAGCAGAAAGAATATTTCCTAACTCATTCCATGAGGCCATTATTTCTCTAATACTAAAACCAGACAAAGACATTGTAAGAAAAGAAAGTTACAGACCAACATCTCATGAACACAGATGCAAATTTTTAAAAAAAATCAGTAAACTGAGTCTAACACTATACAGAAAGAATTATATACCATGTCCAAATGGGATTTATCCTATTATGCAAGCTTGACTCAATATTAAGAACTCAATGTAATCCATCACATCAACGGACTAAAGAAAGAAAATCATAAACATTATCAATAGATGCATTAAAAGTTTTTAACAAAATCAAACACCATTGATGACTTTTATTTCTTTTAAAGATTTATTTATTTGAAAGGCAGCGTTTCAGAGAGAGAAGAGACACAGAGAGAATCTTCCATCTGATGATTCATTCCCTAAATGGACTCAATAGCTGGGGCTGGGCTAAGCCAAAGCCAAAGGCTGGGATTCCTTCTGGGCCTCCCACATGGGTAGCAGGGGCTAAGGTGATGGGCCAACTATCCCTGCCTCCCCACGTGTATTAGCAGGGAGCTAGATCAGAAGTGGAGCAGCCAGGACTTGAACCAGTGCCCATACAGGATGCTGGCATGCCAGGCTGCGGCTTAACCCACTTCACCACAATGCCAGCCCAACCATTCATGATTTTAAAAACTCAGTAAATTAAGAATAACTTTGCCAACTTGAAAAAGAACATTTACAAAAATGTCTATAGCTAACTATTAACTGGTGGGAAACAAGATGCTTTTCCCCTCAGATCAGGAACAAGGGGCAAGGGTGTTCCCTCACCACTGTTTCTCAGTATTATACCTGAAGTCCTAACCAACACAATAAGGCAAGAAAATTAAATAGATACAGATCGAGCAGGAAGAAATAAAACTGTCTTAGTTTACAGGTGAAAGGTATTTGTGTAGGTAAATCCAAAACACTGACAACCCCAGATGCTCACGAGTATGTGGAGCAATAGGAACACTCTTTTCTTACTGGTGGGAATGCAAAATGGTACAGCCAATTTGAAAGATAGTTTGGGGGCTGACACTGTGACGTAGTGGGTAAAGCCACCGCCTGCAGTGCCGGCATCACATATGGGCACTGGTTTGTGTCCCAGCTGCTCCACTTCTGATTCAGCTCTCTGCTGTGGCCTGGAAAAGCAGTAGAAGATGGCCCAAGTCCTTGGGCCCCTGCACAGCATGGGAGACCTGGAAGAAGCTCCTGGCTCCAGGCTTCAGATCAGCTCAATCGGCTCATCTCCAGCTGTTGCAGCCCTTTGAGAAGTGAACCAGTGGATGGAAGACCTCTCTCTCTCTCTCTCTCTCTCTCCCCCTCTCTCTCTCTCTGTAACTCTGTCAAATAAATAATCTTTTTAAAAAAATTGCCAGGGCTGGTGCTGTGGTGTAGCAGGTAGAGCCGCCACTTGCAGTACCGGCATCCCATGTGGGCGCTGGTTTGAGATTTTTAGAAAGTCAGAGTTACACAGAAAAGAAGGAAAGACAGAGAGAGAGAGGTCTTCCATCTGATGGTTCACTCCCCAATTGGCTGCAATGGCTGGAGCTGCGCTAATCCGAAGCCAGGAGCCGGGAGCTTCTTCTGGGTCTTCCATGTGGGTGCAAGGGCCCAAGGACTTGGGCTGTCTTCCACTGCTGTCCCAGGCCATAGCAGAGAGCTAGATTGGAAGAAGAGCAGCCGGGACTCGAACCGGCGCCTATATGGGATGCCATCGCTTCAGGCTTTAACCCACTGCACCACAGCACCGGCCCCCCACTAAGTTATACAAGTTTCATGCATTTCATATATATAGATTTAGGAACATAGTGATACTTCTCACCTTACCCTCCCTCTCACCCACGTTCCAACCTTTCTTCCTCCTCCCTCCTCCATTTCCACTCTTAATTTTTACAAACACCTACTTTCAGTTTACTTAATGATCATAAGGTTAAGCCTACACTAACTAAAAGAGCTCAACAAATAGTATAAAGAAAAAAAATAGTGTTTCTCAACAAAAGAGACAAGGGCTATAAATAGTCATGCAATCTCAAAATGTCCATTTCACTCCAATACGTTACATTTTAGGTACTCTAACTAACATAGCTATTGTATTGAAAGAATTTTCAACTCCCCTGGAAAAAATAAGAAAACATTATTTGTTTTAAAGAAGTCAATCTAATTTTGTTGCTTTCTCAAGCCCAATAAACCAATTAAGTTGTACTTAGTGTCTGAGTTGATTCGTGATACTAAGTTAGATATCAGGGCAAATACTTTGTGTTTTTAGATAGTACACTAAATGGTTCCCAGGCCATCAGCAGAGGGCTGGATCAGAAGAGAGGCAGCTGGGACTTGAACCAGCACTCATATGGGATATCAGTGCTTCAGGTAGAGGTCCAACCCACTACACCACAGCACTGGCCCCCACTAAGTGGTTCCTAAATAGTCTCCTATCACATGAAAGAGTCAACATATTAAGTGCTTAATTTACTAAGGGAGAACCCTAAGCCTTAGGACCCTGAAATCTACAGAAGGCAGTTTCAGCATTACACATTAAAATCATGTGTTCAAGTGCAGGATACTCCTGAGTGATTTTTCCCAGTCGGCTAACAAGCCAAGAATTAAAAAATTGCTAGGGCTGGCATTATGGCATAGTGGGTAAGACCGCCGCCTGTGACTTTGGCATCTCACTTGGGCTCCGGTTTGAGTCCCAGATGCTCCATTTCTAATCCAGCTCTCTGCTAATAATCTGAGAAAGCAACGGAAGATGACACAAGATGGCCCAAGTCTCTCTCTCCTCTCCCCCATATCTCTGATTTTCAAATAAAATAAACAAATCTTAAAAAAACAAAATTGTAAAATCAAGAATTGTTGCCAGAATTTGAAACAAA